AAGCAATATTATTTTAATACAACCAAAACCAAAATCAAACTTAATATTATAAAAAATAAAACATAACCTTATCAACACCAAAATTCTTAACATTAAAAAAAAACTAAACCAACAACTCCAGATATAAGACCAAAACACAAAAAATAAAAAAAAATAATAGAATTAAAAAAAAACAAACATAATAAACAAGCAAAGAAAAAAACAACAAAATTCAAACCAAGCTAAACAAAAATTAAATAATTATATTTAAAAACAAAATATAAAAAACAAAAAAAAAAAAAATAAAAATACCTGAAGAATAAACCTTTTGATTAAGAGTCAAAAATTTTAAATTTAAAATAATCCTTTAAACATGGTAAAACCTCGAAAATACGAATCTCACAGACCTGAAAACTATCCTACCACATTAAAAGAATCTTTAACCTACTAATCAACAATTAGTTACACAAAAATTATACTTAAAATTGCTATTAGCTTAAAACTAGCCACGCTTAAAACGAATATACTTATTATACTAGAAAGCCCTAGTGCATAAAAATCTTAAGATTGCAAATCAAATATAGTAATTTTATAATATATACACTTATAACAGTTTATTTGTTAAGTATGAAATAGTTGGTTTATTAAATAAATGCAATTCTATCAGAGTATTATAACTTTAATGTTATAATACTCTAAGAATTGTATTTAGTTTAGCAATTATTAAGAAAATAATTACTACAATTAGTAATAATTATATTGAAGGAGAACAAAAAAATAAATAAAGTAAAAAAAATATAAAAATAACAAAAAATCATCATTGAAAATAGGCTCTAAAAAATAACAAAATAAAATAGATATCTTACAAATAGAAATTAAGAGCCTTAAACATATAATAAACAAAACATAATACCTCACATTTATTCTGAAAAACGCCAATAATCAATAGATATATCATATGCTTGAGTATGATATCAATTAAAATTATGCAATTTAACACGAAAAAAATTAGTGATAAGAAAATCAAAAACACCAATTAATACATGACTTCCATGCAATCCAGTACCAATATAAAAAACTCTACCATAAATTCTATCATTTATAACAAAGCAATTATGAGTATAATCAAAAAATTGGAAACATAAAAAAAATGCACCAATAAAAATACACAACAATAATAAATTCTCACATTTATCTATATTTAAGTACAAATATCGTCGAGAATATTTTAAAACTTGACTATTCATTATCAAAAATAAACTAACTATACCATTAATACCAAGATAATCTGGAGATAAAATACCAACAGGAGATCAAATTCCCCCTAACCAAGTTAAAGGACATAAAGAAGAATCTAAAAAAGTCCAAAAAATAGAAAAAAAAATAAAGTCAATCCATTAAATAAAAATAAACGAAATCCTTGACCAAATATTCGATAATGCAGGTAGGTAAACACCTGTTTATTTTCTCAAGCATATAATTTCCGAGTATCCATTAGCATTATCGATAAGATATTTCATGTGCAAATAGTGAAAAGAACTACCCGTCAGATATTGGTACAACTGTGTTATATTTAATATCAACAAAAGCATGAGATCTTCTGCTCAAATATTTGGAGATGATATTGCATATTCTGTCAGTTTCTCACTATTGTAACATCTTCTAAGTTCAAATGGCTTTTGAATGCATTCGCTAATTACACATAGTAATTTTATTGCTAATTTTAATTATTAGCATAATTCACCTTAGACTGTTAGATTTATGTTTTGCACTAATTCATGAATTTTTTCAAATGATTCCTATTAAAATCAGAAATTATCGAGTCTAAATTTTACGCGCAAAAATCAATAATTTTTTCTTCTTTTTCTTTTCTTCCATTTGTCAAAGTTTCTTAAAGTAAACGAATGTTTAACTTCCTTTGCTGACTTGATAACTCAATCATCGTACAAAGAACAGTATTAGCAATCTGTTTGTTACTGACTGTAGCAGTACTGCTATCAAATTCGTTTTGAAAAATATTTCTAACTCAAAAATATATTTACATATATTTTATTACAGACTTTATTTTCAAAGAAAATATAAATCCTGCACTGAACCTTTTATCTCTTCCAATGTTAAGTACTGCGCATATTTTATATAGAGGGATAATTTAGAGTAAGAAGATATAACATAAACATGAAAGTGGAATACTCTAAGTTATAAATCTCTATCTTTTGAAATTTTATGTAGATTACTGTTAGTTTTCAATAATCACTCACAATGATAACATCAAATTGGTCGACCTTTCAATTAAGTTTCCTTTAAAAGTGCACCTCATGGGAAGAGACAATTTTAAACCAATTTTTTGATAGTACATAAATATATGTATCATTTAGAGAAGTTTCTCGTCAAATTTTACTTGGAAATTAAAAAAAAAAAATCATTGCAATAAAAATGATAAAATCTATTCAAATAAGGCCAATATTTAATGCATTCAAAATCATGTATGTTGATATTGATCCTGTGAAATCATCCTTTACTTCGGTTTACGTGATGATTTGTTGCGAAGTATTAAAAAAGTTTTCATAACATTATAATCTTTGTCTGAAGTGTCTTTGTTTCTTACCGATTCTCAATATATCAGTTAGTTTTATGGAAGGTCGCTTGTTTCAATTTCGCCTGTTTCTGTTTCAATAGTAATATAAAAAAAGTGAAATGAAAAAAAACGAATAAATTCCAAATTGAGTCTATTTGCATATAATTGTGGAACAATTCTGATATATTATTAGTAACATCAGTTTTGAATAGCAATGAAGCATAAAAAGTACCAAAATCATTCTCACTGGATTTTAGGAGGGAAATTAATTCAACTCAATTAAGCTAATTTTTATATAAGAAATAAAATTGCATTCATTAGTGCGGTCTTGATTTTTTGAGTTTCTTTTTTTTTTTTTCGGTACCATGCAGCAGAAATTTAGATGCATATATTAGGTACTGTTGCTAAATCAGCACGAGTGGACATTACCTTTTCAAGTGATCGCCATTTGATGGAAATAATTCATTCATTACTATAAATGATGACAATTCGAAACGAAACTTTGTGGATCCTTTTTTTTTTTGAATTTCAACGATACTTACGAATATATTATCATGCTGCAGTGCATTTACTAAGCATGCATATACATATTTCATACAACGTATTTCATGATTTGACGTTAGACTAAAATTAATTTAATAAGATATTCTATCATTATTAGTACAATTGACTTAAGAATTATTTAAATCTTTTAAGAAAATACTGACTAAATATCCATTTCGCCCCATTTTTCATAACGAAGAATCCCAGTCTATCAAACCTAAAGATACAGACTGTAGAGAATAAAAACATCAGCATTTTCAGCTGCGATTGAACAAACTATGATTGATTTCTACAGATTTTAAATACACTGCATTGCACAATCTCTTACTTTGTTATTAGTTGTTCCTACTTTATTGAAATTTCTCACAAAAGATTCCTTTGTTGAATTATCTGGAGTACTGGTTAAATGATAAATGTTGTCCTTCTTTTCCCATCCATTTGAAACTATTTCAAAAAGGATTGCAATCAAATGCGACAATCTTTGGAGAATGGTAAATATCGAAAATCTTTTCGACTTTGTTAATATTACGCTTGTTTCATAACTATTTAATTCCACTTCATAATTAATAATTTTTTTTCTTTTTTTTTTTTTAACAAAAGGAAATCGTTTTTAACAAATGTTATTTTTGGCTCATTTTTGACCATTCTGTACTGGGAAATGTTCATAATGGATATCCTTATTGTTGTCACCAACTGAACAATAGCTTCACTGTTCTTTACGATCCGAACAGTGCCAACAGTAGTCGGTCAGTCAGTCAGTTAGTCAGTTCGTAAGTGTCATCGTACTGTCACTCTGCCACCGCTGTCGCACACCGTCTGCTGAAGTGAACTGAGTGAGTGAGTGTTTGCTGTGACCACTGGCTTACAGCAAAACACGTAATTACAGTGAGTAAAGAGGAATTACTTTATAAGAAGAGTGAGTGTCACACTGGCAGGTCTTGATAATAAAATCAGTTGCAATTCCCGCGATATTAAGCAATGCTAGCAGTTCTTTGCTAACAGACTGTAATATCCCGGACAAGGCATATAAATTCGTTACAATTGGAGGGTCAATCTTTTGGGTTATGGCTTATCACTGGTAGTATAAATCTGAAATAATTTTATTTAGTTGAGTCAATCAGTCATTAGATCACAAATTTTTCTTTTGATTTTAACACAAAATTATTTTGACTCATTATAAATTTACTTCGTTTTTTCTGGCAGTCTGCTGAACAGGCAAATAAGCCTTCAAAGCATTTATTGCAATTTTTGATAGTATCACCATTATCATTGTTGAAATTTTGCAGTAACAATGGTGTGTTATTTTAAGTGTTCAAACACCAGAAAAATTACATATTTGCTTTTTAAGCTTTTACCACATACCCACATTTCTTCATATCTTATAGTTTTTTTCATTTTTTCATATCTTATTTCTGTTCCGAGCATTATTCAATCTTTGATAGTATCACCATTATCCATTTCCATTTTAAGAGAAACTATATAAAATGTTTAGATTTAGTTGGGTTTATGACATTTTTCTTCAATATTTTTTCTTCTGGAACAATATTTCATTAATAATGATCGAGTTCTTCCCTCAAAAACTGTATGATGAGAAAATATTTAGACGAGGCACCTAGCGATGTAAAAATTTATGGGAATATAGAAGTCTTAATTTGCTTCTAATTTACCGACAACTCTGACATTCCAGATCATTCAAGAAATTTGTTATAATGTTATCAAGTCAAATGATAAATCTATTTATGTTTGCAGAGAGTACAAATTGTTATCACTCTGCCATCAACTCACAAGACATTCTCGCTTTCATAAACGACCACAACAAACATTTCTAAATTGTCTCACTTTGCCGTAGTTATTGAGTCGAACAGTATCAATAATAATATCACTTAATATATTAATAATATCTATGCATGCAATAAGTGCATGTACAATGATTGCAGTTAATTGCCTAATTCTGGTAAGAATTTGCTGAGTTTAATATTTGAGTCGAACAGTATCAGTAATAGTATCACTGAAAAACATGAATTAAAAATATATTAAAGTTATATTTGTGACAGGACATGTTCTTTTCCGATTTGGAAATGATATATTTCTAAATTTAGGTGCTATCAGTGATGGAATTAATGTTGACGAGTTCAATTTACGACTTCATTGTCACTCACGAACTTTTTTACGCATATCCGAAAAAGGTCATGCCGTAGCAGCTCATTATGCATAAGAGTTATCGTAAAATAAATCATGCACTTTTTTTTACTAACAAAAACTAGAAATTTAAAGAGTTTTTACATTATTGAGCTCGTTTTCATATCCACCTCTTTATTGCCCCCACATCATATACTAGTATCTATTTGTTAAAATAACTTTAAAAAATTCTAGAATGACTAGGTCTCAGTCCTGCCATCGCTGCCCAAATTGTAGAAGCAATGGTCAGATATTCAGCCAGATACAAGCAATTAATACAACTTCAACAAATTTCACTCTAAAAAGTTTTCGCTGCTTCTCCATATCCTTCCGATACTTTTTTCAGACGATACTGATTGCTCCATCACAAAGTCTTTTCAAGTACATCGCAATATCCTTATCGTTTTTTCTATCGTTTGCATCAATTACTTACTTTTCATATCGATATCAGCGTCTAACCCATACATATTTCACGATTATGGTAAATCCGACATACTTTCACTTATCAAACAAACATACGTTTCTTTCCTTAAATTTTTTTCTGTTTCGTTGAAATTCGGAGATTCATCATTACATGGTACATATGGATAACGCAACATACCATGAAAAAAAAAAAAAAATTAAAACGCAAGCTTCTATCTTTGAGAAAAGTATCAACTTTGGCACGATTGCTTCCTACATTAGCTACTCATTTACATTCAACATCGATAATCTTTATTATGTGCCTTCCAAGGTAAATTTGATGCATATAATAAAGTGAGAAAAAAAAGCAGCTGAATTTTTCGACCTAATTTCAAGAATATCGGCAGGACCAGCAGTATCTAATTTCCTTTTCCCACTACTGTTGAAAAGAATTTCTTGTTATAAAACAATTTCTATTTGTCGCTTTCAGTATCGAATAGCACAATTTGCTTGTGCTGTACTTCATGCAATTTGCTCTTCAAATTCTTTTCAAACATCCCAAAAACTTGCGATTTTCATCAGTGGGGACGAAGAAGACAACTTCATTGCTGCTGCTTGGTGGTACACATTACGTTTACGTTTCTCGACAGTAAGCTTTTCTGAATTGCATGATTTTGAGTTACAGATAACAAAGAGTTGATATGTGAAATTAAGTTTTGATTAAAAAGTTAGTTAAAAATTGAAACATTAATTATTCACTTCTTGCGCAAAAAAGCAAAAAAAAGTATTACTTTCAATGCGTTCTCTTTCAGATTTTATTCGCTGCTACTTCCATACTTATTTTATTCCTTTTCTTCCTGAATATCAGAAAAAATCATCGTCAAAGGTTAGCATATAGAGAGCTTTTTGCAACTTTCACTAGACAATCTTGGGAAGAATTGTGCAAGCTTGAGAATAAATAACAGCATTCATCACTTCTTTCGATGTGACCAAACAGTAATCAATAAAATAAAAAAATCAAATTACGTTTTGGTAGCTTTTCAGTTGCAAAATTTCCAGCATTTCATATGATCTATTGATTGTGGGGCGGAAAGAAGGAATGTTTTATTCGTGATTTATTTAAAATGATAATTTAATTTGATAAATTACCATAAGCTATGCAATGGCTTCAAAGCATTCGGATTGCATCGAATATTTGTGTCAAAATCTTCAACTTTGGGAATAAAATATTTGCATCTTGAAAAATAAGATATTTGCGTCATCACTGCATCAGTATTTATTAATCAAAATCAGTTTCATAAACTTCGGAAAGTTAAAAAAAAAAAACCTAAATAAAAAAAATGAATGAAATCAAAAACTGAAGCGATCTTCATTTGTAATATAAATATCAATTAACGGGAACATCAATGGAAGCACGTTCCTTACTATCAATTCTGATAACTGACATTTATTGATCAAAATCATAACAATTAGAGTGACACTAAAAGGCCATAAATAGCTTTCTGAAGCATTTCTCAACTGATCTATTGTTTTTGGGATTCTAAAAACTACATGTACCAAGAATACATGTAATTCAAACTCCACACGCCCCAAAAACAAGCAGTACTTGATGGATACCACCAACACCACCAGTACCACCAATTTTGTGCTTCTAATTTAGGAACTGGAGCTACCGTTAAAGAAGGCAAGATCGTTGAAATTAATACATCTCTTAAAGGAGGTTCTGTAAGCATCGTTTTTGGTGCTGTAGAAATAAGAGTGACACGTTTTGAAGTTGCTAGAGTTGTTGATGTCGTAGAGGGCATTTTTACAGTAGTTGCAGTTGTTGTTGATTCTGATGTCGTAGAGGACGCTGTTGAAGTTTACTGATGTTGTTGATTCTGATGTCGTAGAAGACGCTGTTGACTGATGTTGTTGATTCTGATGTCGTAGAAGACGCTGTTGAAGTTGTTACTGATGTTGTTGATTCTGATGTCGTAGAGGACGCTGTTGAAGTTGTTACTGATGTTGTTGATTCTGATGTCGTAGAGGACGCTGTTGAAGTTGTTACTGATGTTGTTGATTCTGATGTCGTAGAGGACGCTGTTGAAGTTGTTACCGTTGTTGTTGATTCTGATGTCGTAGAGGACGCTGTTGAAGTTGTTACCGTTGTTGTTGATTCTGATGTCGTAGAGGACGCTGTTGAAGTTGTTACCGTTGTTGTTGATTCTGATGTCGTAGAGGATGTTGCTGAAGTCGGCTATAATAATATGCTGTTAAATATGATGAAGTTGGTAAAAATAGTGGAAGATGGGAAATAAAATAAAATCGATAAAATTTCCACAGTTCATTAGCAGGCATCAATGATGTTTATTACTAAAAAAAAAATTTTTTTTTTGTTTGATTATGAAAGAAATATGAAACAGTAAATTTAACATGAAGGAAAAAATCAATCGATCAATTGGATTTTTTATTGACAAATCAATAAAAAATGATCATTTTATTCGCACAGTACTTCTAATCTGATCAATTTCAGTCCTTTTATTTGTTAAAAACGATTATTCTACCTGATAAAATTTAGAATAAAATTGTTACCATTATCATGTTGAACAACAAAATAGCGGTGAAGACAAAAGCAGATCTTTTTTTTGCGATCATCGTTTAATTTGATCAATCAGATTGAAATTAAATACAAAAGGAGTTGTTTATGAATGATATCACCAAGCGGATGCTTCATGAAATTTATTTACTTAATCAGGCAAGCGATGATTAAGCGCAGATTATCAATCATTCAAATTCCGTACACGAATTTTTTGCACATAACACTAACAGTTCCAGCATTCACTACTGTGTCTACTGTACTTCATTCAGAACACATTGATGTAATCCTCGTTCTTCAAGTATGATAAGAAAATTCCTGTCCTACATCCCGTACTGGTAAAATAAACCTTCTGCCATTCACAAGTAAACTATTTTTCGCGCAACATTTGAAATGAAAGAATATAACTTCCAGTTTTTCTTTTCTAATATCTAGTAGCGACGACGAAGAAGCAGATGGCTTATAATTTGCAGTGTGACTGAAATGCACCGGAATTGTTATCGAGCCGAACGTCCTGCACTGAAAGATTTGATGACATTTATATAAGAATTGTTTTACTTTGCATTTATTTGGAATAATTGAAATGAATTGTAAGCATTGCTTTCCAAAATAGCACTACTCATCCAAAGCTTCAGGAAAGCGGGCATTGTTTAATGCAGCTACATCAATGAGGCTTCGCATTTGCATTCAATTGGTGAATTTTCTTTAATATAAGAGAAATCAAAAGATATGAAATGTAAACATCTTCAAATGGACAGAAAAAAGTAGTTCTTTCCATTAGAATCAAAATTATACAACAAAACTCTGCTAATATCTAACTGTTTGTCATTCGAACATTTATCAAACCATTGTTGCTAATCATTTAAAAATAATGATTACAATGATATCATCATTGATCAGTTATTTTATTATCATTCAACTATCTTTCAATTAATCTTATAGAAATCATTCAAGCGAGAATCAATAATTTATAAATTAAAAATATTAGTCTTTTTTTGCTGTGAAATAACCAAGAAATAATTACATAAAACCATTGCGAAAATAATTGAAAAGTTCAAATATTTATAATGATGTTAAGATTCTTGTGTTATTATTAAGTAGAATTGTAATATATGATTTTACAGAATGATATAAGTAAATGAGGATATCTATTCGATATTCACTTTTTTCCATGATCTCTCACTGACCGGTTGGAAAAGTTCGAATTGTTTCGTTCATTTAAAATTAATGGATAATTTCAGTTCATATTGCAAAGCAAATCAAACATTTTGTTCCAATTTGTTTTTTTTTTTTTTTTTTTTAAATATTCATAAAAAGGTCAAAAAATTTTTATCACTTGGAATATTTTAGGAGTTTGCGGTCGGTAACCTGTTAACATTCACTTAAGCTAACAAGAAATGGTATATTATAGGCTGATTGATTTGTGTGCTTCGATTTTAAAATCTGAAATGAATAGTTAAAAGAAGTTGTATTTCTCGCTGAAGTGAAAATATTTGACATGGGTTGCCGGTTTTAATTAGCTTTATTTTGCAAATTTATATAAAAGTTCCGGAATGCTGCTTTAATTTTTACATAATACTTTTCAATAAACATATCAGAACATTGCTTGAAAATTTTTAGATTCCTAATTTTGTATAAAAGAATGAGTTTTTCTTATCAATCAGTTACTGAAATAATCCATAGATCAATTAGCACACAGCAAATATGTTCTCTTTATAACGTTTATCCAAGTGATTATTATCATCACAATATACTCAGTTATACTTATTATTGTTTATTCTTTGATTTATACCGACTCATCAGGATAAATTTGATTAGTCGAAGAGGAATAAATCCAGTAGATTTGTGACAAAATATCTTTGTAAACTCTATTTGTATTTATATGTGCAACTAAATGGTTCATCATGTTTCCGCTTTCATGTTGTTCAGTATTTCGGAAAATCTTTATCAGAAACTTTTGTTGACATCAAATTGACAAGTTGTGAAAACTTTAAATTATACGTACATACATATTACTCTTTCACTACTCCGTATTCGTTTTCTTTTCTCCCTGATCCCGCATTTCAGCCGTATCCTCTTCAGGAAACCATTTAATTTCATCATGCACTGATTGTGTTGTCTGTTCGAAGCGAGCTTCCAGGATACCTTAATGAAAGCATAATTATTCATTCATTATAAAATGATTTTTTTTTTTTTTTTTGAAAATGTAAATGTAATTTTGAAAATATAAAACGAACTAAAATGAATCAATTTAGTTTTTGTTTCATTCAAGCTATCCAACTATATTCTTTAATTTGTGTGATCATTGGATCTACACTCATCTACACTCACTATTGTACTCATTTTTGATAATGATTTTAATGATCATTTTTGTTATACAGAGATAGTTTATCTTTGCTCAAGTATCGTTCAAAACATGTATTATTGAAATGATCATGCAAAACGAATTCTGAAATTAACTATTGGCGTCACTTAGACTATTTTGGATAACGTAAATTTTGCAAACTAATTATTCTGTATAAAACATAAAAGAATTGAAAATAGCATCATTAGAAGTATGATATTTTTGACATTTGTGCACGAAGTTAACATTGAATTTTAAAATACTTAACAGTTTTTATTTCACGTTTATTTTTGTAAGAAGTTCCATAAAAAGTAATATTTGATAAAGGTAAAAAGTATACCAAACACTAAAAATCATTGCAAAATTTGAACGACAAATGCAGGATAAGTAAGAAAAAATCTAAGAAAGACGTAAATTCTGAAAATTGGTCTTAATACATATTTTGAAACATAAATGTTGTGGCGAAGAAATAATGAAGCGAATGGTCTATGCAGAAAAAAAGGACTAAATCTAATTTCATATCCTAATTTCTATTCAACACATGAAGTTTCATGGCCAATGGTTGCAAAATACTTTAACTGGGGTGGAAATAGATGAGAATGATTAAAACGCGAAGTAATCTTAATTAAAACAAAACTGTGACTAGCAAAATATAGAGTCAGATTATCATTTTCCATTAACACTAGTTTTTTGTTTGGAACTTAAGTACACTTTTTTAAGAATTCTAATCAAGTGATTTGTCAATTAATGATTAATCGATTAGTGCTTTTCGTTCCTTAACGTCATCTTATCTATAATCTTTTCAGCAATAACCTATATTTAATGCATAATTTAGATGAGCAACGCAGTTCATGCATCAAATATTCTTTTAAGTGTAAATGAATGAAATTAAATTATTCATAAATGAAATAACTTTAACAAAATATTTCATGGCTTCCTACAAAAAAAGAAACAGCTAACCGTCCCATGTTGGCATTGTCATAATTTCGTTTTCCACATTTAATAGATTACCGCTTGCTTCGCAATGCTTCTGAAATCTTCTTTTGCTTCCGATGCTTTAATTAATTATCACAAAATAAACTACAATGTTTTATTGTAATGCTATCTTATATTGCTATTGCTATATTGCTGTCTTACCGCAGTTGCCATTGGTGCGATAATTTTACGCCAATGCAATCGAAGATTTTTCCACATAAACAAAATAATTGCAACCCAAATGAATACGGGTATTAGCATCCAATAAATAATTAACATGAAAATCCATATTCTGCACAAATTACTCTTTTATTAGTTCTTTATTATTTGTTAATCATTTGAAATTTTTGTGGAGCTAAAAATAAGTTGATTTAATACAAACATGCTGCCGTTATCAGCTTGTTTGTTGATCATTTGAATAGTTTCTCCAACATATTTCAAGCAGTTTAATTTTGTTGCGATATAACTAGAAATGAAAATGAAACTGAGGTAAAACATACATTTCAGTGAATTATTCTCTTTAAGGAAATTTCTGAAACTTACTTTTCTATCCTTTGCATGTAAATAATGTTTGTTCATTCTATCTCCCATAATCATTTTGCTGACAACTGATCAATATTGCCTTAGTCTCAGTGACATTTGAACTCAAATAGTTGTGATAATAATATATGTTTTAAAATTCATTAATGATTAGTTGAAAAATGAACAAACACATTTATATCGTTTAATTCATAAATTGCGACAGTTGTTATCATGCTAGCAACGGTATTATCAAGTTTCGTAAATATCCGATTAGTTCCCAAATATGTTGGTTCTTCAATTTGCCGCTTTTGACGTTCCTTTTTGGTTACTGCATTTGTGAAATACATCATAGTCTATTTTTACGTTTCCCATAGTAATGATAAAAAAAATGTTGCTACTATTATTGTCATTATTAAGGAATATAGCTCGAGTTCTAGCATTTTGATGATAAGATTGCCATGTCATGCAATATGGAAGCACTATGGAATATATAACTGAACACGTGAAGTATTTATGCTAGCAATCTCAAGCCATCTTTTAAATTGTGTCCGTTAATCTAGACGATGATCGATGTTCATGCTACACTTTGGTGACAAGAATCGTGGGAACATGCATCACATCTCTTGATATTGACGTAATTAACTTGTAATGAACATTAATCAGTGACACTGTTAGATTGTAGATGCTAACAAATACTTTGAAAGTGATGAATGTTACATACACATCAAATTTAAAAGTTTTTGGTAATATTTTGAATTGATTGTCTGACGTAAGTCATCCATTTTTTGCATTCTTGCATCGTCAATTATTGACATCGAATTATTGACCTGCAGGAAAAATGGATACAAAGATCGTTAATATTTTATATCTTTACCCTGCTGTAACAATTCATAACTTGTATCAAAATACTTAGCGGTGCAATTTCTTGATCAATCTTTAAAGATATCTTCTATATATTGTCTAGGAATAAAATAACTTTCTTGCAATATGAATTTTGCAGTACAAGTGTAACTTACCCAAGCAAATATAGAAGAATCTTCAACGATACAAAGTATGTTTATTGATATAAACAACATGACATAAAACTTGCCTATAAATTTTCCATTTTCGTTCCTCTATTTTTTTTTTTTTTGTTTGCCAATTTTTCCAGCAATCAAAATTAAATGCTGCTTAACTTTTTTCTAAAGCATTAAAAGGTCTTTGGATTAATGATAAATGAAGCAAGAAACTTACCCATCATTTTTACACTACTGTTAGTATTAATGGCAATAACCACAATGGAAGCAATCAATTAAAAACAGTACAATAATCCTACCTTATCCAATCGTTATGTGTACATAATGTTTTGCCAAAATTTACATATTTTGAAACAAGCGTTGAAGATTAGCATTCGTTAGAATTCCCTCAGTGAATAAACGAAAGTAATTTATAAATTATAATAATGCTTAATTGCTGAGATCGTATCATTTTATACCCAAAAATATGAAAAGTATGAAAACAGCGAGGGTCATTCTGAAATTTTAATAAAAGAAACTTCTGAACAGTAAACGTAAAAATACCAATTCAAATAACCGAATATATATTTTTAAATATAAACAAAAAAAAAAAAATAAATAAACTGATCTCGTGTAGACGACCGATTTAAAAATTTCACCGTTATGGTAATATGAAAAATCAGTAGTGATAAAACATATCACTAATAATATATTTTGCCTCCTTTTGTAAATTTGGCCTATTATTCCGTGTAATCGATTTCCAAAAGTAATTCATAAACTGAATAATGATTAAAACAAATGCACTATCAAAAACGGTCTTCGTAATGGATCAACTTCGTTTTCGATTATGTATAGTAAAAAACCTTGCAGTAATAGGCAATAACAATTATTATTGTCATTATTGTTGTTTTATTTACTAATAAATTAGTAGTAACTAACAAGTATTTGCTCAAGAAATGAAAAGTAATATTGAAAGTAATAATAGTAATAAGGAGAATCCAACTCCATAGAATATTTCATGATTTAGAATGCACTACAAATGATCAAGTAGAGGGAATAAGTAATTTTTGTACAGAAGAGAAGTTTAATGCATTTTGGTTTAGACGCATATTTCATTACTGATCAAAAATTAGTGCACAAATTCTTAGATTCTTGTAGGGAAATTCTCTTGTAGCAGTAAAATGTCGATATTTAATTTTTGAAATAAGATTGTAATTTGTTTGTTACTGTAAAAGATAGTTCAATAAGTGTTGACAGGTTTAACGTTAGACAACAAAAATATAGCTAAATAAGCTTTATGGCAACCATCAAAGGAAAAGTTCAGGAGGAGAAATTATTGATGACAATGAGTTTTTTAAAGAAGGTTATGGTTATATCACTTAATCTTATTTCGTCTTAACGGCAACTCCTTGAATTAAAAAAAGCTCCTTAATGATGACTAACAAGCTTTTTAAAAAACACATTGAAAAAAGTGCTTCTGACGAATTTAAAATTTTTGTACTTTGGAAGAAATATCAACGTTTAGAAATCTCATTTTGTAAGAAGTTATGCTGAACATATTCAATGATATAAGACTTATAAGAAACTCATTCTGCAATTACTCACTTTTTAATTATTAATTAGTGTAAAAGCTTCCAAACAACGTAGAGATGTTCTGCTCGATGCTTAGTTTAAAGCTAGAGCAAATAGCTGTATAAAATTCTGAAGAAAAAAATTAGAAATAACTGTTTGGAATTTATATACAGTTTCTGATACTGTAATTAAAAATATTGCCGAAATTATATATAATACGATTTTTATCAGAACTATTAGCAATTGTAATTAAACTGGAATGATGATGGCTCGAAGAATTCAAGAATGTACTGCATGAAACTTTTGATCTGGTGATTTATATCAAAACGAAATTCGTACGAATCAGGTTGCATGAAATGGTTACTTTCATCACTGCATCAGCATTTATTGATTAAAATCATTTTCATAAAATTTCGTGGAGTTAAAAAATACCCAAATAAAAAGATGCATAAAAGGAAAACAGAAGCGACCTTCAATTAGAGTATAAGCATTTATTTATTAATGGAAACATCAATGAATGCACGTTTTTTATTTACTTTTTTTTTTGAATTCTAATAACTGATATTTATTGATAAAAATCATAATGATCCTTAGAGTGATATAAAAAGGCCATGAATAGCTTTTTGAAGCATCGCTCAACTGATCTATTGCAATGCTTCAGTTATTGGAAAAAAATTAAATGGATTCCAAAAAACTACATGTACCATGAATACCAAAAATTCCACAAATAAAAACTCCAGTAATTCAAAGAACAGATTTGATACATTGAAGACCACCAACACCACCAGCACCACCAGTACCAAAAACATTGATCTGCTACACTCGCTACTGGAGAAGGAGTTGGTGATACACGTTTTGCTGTAGTCATTAGCGTACCTTTTACGGTAGCAGTTGGAATCACAGAAGCTGTAGAGGCAGAAATTTTTCCCGTTGGTTTCGATGTCTTAGGCAATAGTCTTGAAACTGCTGTTGTTAATTTTGATGCCTTGGAGGTCGCTTTTGAAGCTATTGCTGTTGTTGATTTTGCCTTGGAGGATGTTGCTGAAGTCGGCTATAATAATATGCTGTTAAATATGATGAAGTTGGTAAAAATAGTGGAAGATGGGAAATAAAATAAAATCGATAAAATTTCCACAGTTCATTAGCAGGCATCAATGATGTTTATTACTAAAAAAAAAATTTTTTTTTGGTTTGATTATGAAAGAAATATGAAACAGTAAATTCAACATGAAGGAAAAAATCAATCGATCAATTGGATTTTTTATTGACAAATCAATAAAAAATGATCATTTTATTCGCACAGTACTTCTAATCTAATCAATTTCAGTCCTTTTATTTGTTAAAAACGATTATTTTACCTGATAAAATTTAGAATAAAATTGTTACCATTATCATGTTGAACAACAAAATAGCGGTGAAGACAAAAGCAGATCTTTTTTTTGCGATCATCGTTTAATTTGATCAATCGGATTGAAATTAAATACAAAAGGAGTTGTTTATGAATGATATCACCAAGCGGATGCTTCATGAAATTTATTTACTTAATCAGGCAAGCGATGATTAAGCGCAGATTATCAATCATTCAAATTCCGTACACGAATTTTTTGCACATAACACTAACAGTTCCAGCATTCACTACTGTGTCTAATGTACTTCATTCAGAACACATTGATGTAATCCTCGTTCTTCAAGTATGATAAGAAAATTCCTGTCCCACATCCCGTACTGGTAAAATAAACCTTCTGCCATTCACAAGTAAACTATTTTTCGCGCAACATTTGAAATGAAAGAATATAACTTCCAGTTTTTCTTTTCTAATATCTAGTAGCGACGACGAAGAAGCAGATGGCTTATAATTGCAGTGTGACTGAAATGCACCGGAATTGTTATCGAGCCGAACGTCCTGCACTGAAAGATTTGATGACATTTATATAAGAATTGTTTTACTTTGCATTTATTTGGAATAATTGAAATGAATTGTAAGCATTGCTTTCCAAAATAGCACTACTCATCCAAAGCTTCAGGAAAGCGGGCATTGTTTAATGCAGCTACATCAATGAGGCTTCGCATTTGCATTCAATTGGTGAATTTTCTTTAATATAAGAGAAATCAAAAGATATGAAATGTAAACATCTTCAAATGGACAGAAAAAATTAGTTCTTTCCATTAGAATCAAAATTATACAACAAAACTCTGCTAATATCTAACTGTTTGTCATTCGAACATTTATCAAACCATTGTTGCTAATCATTTAAAAATAATGATTACAATGATATCATCATTGATCAAAAATTACTTATTCCCTCTACTTGATCATTTGTAGTGCATTCTAAATCATGAAATATTCTATGGAGTTGGATTCTCCTTATTACTATTATTACTTTCAATATTACTTTTCATTTCTTGAGCAAATACTTGTTAGTTACTACTAATTTATTAGTAAATAAAACAACAATAATGACAATAATAATTGTTATTGCCTATTACTGCAAGGTTTTTTACTATACATAATCGAAAACGAAGTTGATCCATTACGAAGACCGTTTTTGATAGTGCATTTGTTTTAATCATTATTCAGTTTATGAATTACTTTTGGAAATCGATTACACGGAATAATAGGCCAAATTTACAAAAGGAGGCAAAATATATTATTAGTGATATGTTTTATCACTACTGATTTTTCATATTACCATAACGGTGAAATTTTTAAATCGGTCGTCTACACGAGATCAGTTTATTTTTTTTTTTTTTGTTTATATTTAAAAATATATATTCGGTTATTTGAATTGGTATTTCTACGTTTACTGTTCAGAAGTTTCTTTTATTAAAATTTCAGAATGACCCTCGCTGTTTTCATACTTTTCATATTTTTGGGTATAAAATGATACGATCTCAGCAATTAAGCATTATTATAATTTATAAATTACTTTCGTTTATTCACTGAGGGAATTCTAACGAATGCTAATCTTCAACGCTTGTTTCAAAATATGTAAATTTTGGCAAAACATTATGTACACATAACGATTGGATAAGGTAGGATTATTGTACTGTTTTTAATTGATTGCTTCCATTGTGGTTATTGCCATTAATACTAACAGTAGTGTAAAAATGATGGGTAAGTTTCTTGCTTCATTTATCATTAATCCAAAGACCTTTTAATGCTTTAGAAAAAAGTTAAGCAGCATTTAATTTTGATTGCTGGAAAAATTGGCAAACAAAAAAAAAAAAATAGAGGAACGAAAATGGAAAATTTATAGGCAAGTTTTATGTCATGTTGTTTATATCAATAAACATACTTTGTATCGTTGAAGATTCTTCTATATTTGCTTGGGTAAGTTACACTTGTACTGCAAAATTCATATTGCAAGAAAGTTATTTTATTCCTAGACAATATATAGAAGATATCTTTAAAGATTGATCAAGAAATTGCACCGCTAAGTATTTTGATACAAGTTATGAATTGTTACAGCAGGGTAAAGATATAAAATATTAACGATCTTTGTATCCATTTTTCCTGCAGGTCAATAATTCGATGTCAATAATTGACGATGCAAGAATGCAAAAAATGGATGACTTACGTCAGACAATCAATTCAAAATATTACCAAAAACTTTTAAATTTGATGTGTATGTAACATTCATCACTTTCAAAGTATTTGTTAGCATCTACAATCTAACAGTGTCACTGATTAATGTTCATTACAAGTTAATTACGTCAATATCAAGAGATGTGATGCATGTTCCCACGATTCTTGTCACCAAAGTGTAGCATGAACATCGATCATCGTCTAGATTAACGGACACAATTTAAAAGATGGCTTGAGATTGCTAGCATAAATACTTCACGTGTTCAGTTATATATTCCATAGTGCTTCCATATTGCATGACATGGCAATCTTATCATCAAAATGCTAGAACTCGAGCTATATTCCTTAATAATGACAATAATAGTAGCAACATTTTTTTTATCATTACTATGGGAAACGTAAAAATAGACTATGATGTATTTCACAAATGCAGTAACCAAAAAGGAACGTCAAAAGCGGCAAATTGAAGAACCAACATATTTGGGAACTAATCGGATATTTACGAAACTTGATAATACCGTTGCTAGCATGATAACAACTGTCGCAATTTATGAATTAAACGATATAAATGTGTTTGTTCATTTTTCAACTAATCATTAATGAATTTTAAAACATATATTATTATCACAACTATTTGAGTTCAAATGTCACTGAGACTAAGGCAATATTGATCAGTTGTCAGCAAAATGATTATGGGAGATAGAATGAACAAACATTATTTACATGCAAAGGATAGAAAAGTAAGTTTCAGAAATTTCCTTAAAGAGAATAATTCACTGAAATGTATGTTTTACCTCAGTTTCATTTTCATTTCTAGTTATATCGCAACAAAATTAAACTGCTTGAAATATGTTGGAGAAACTATTCAAATGATCAACAAACAAGCTGATAACGGCAGCATGTTTGTATTAAATCAACTTATTTTTAGCTCCACAAAAATTTCAAATGATTAACAAATAATAAAGAACTAATAAAAGAGTAATTTGTGCAGAATATGGATTTTCATGTTAATTATTTATTGGATGCTAATACCCGTATTCATTTGGGTTGCAATTATTTTGTTTATGTGGAAAAATCTTCGATTGCATTGGCGTAAAATTATCGCACCAATGGCAACTGCGGTAAGACAGCAATATAGCAATAGCAATATAAGATAGCATTACAATAAAACATTGTAGTTTATTTTGTGATAATTAATTAAAGCATCGGAAGCAAAAGAAGATTTCAGAAGCATTGCGAAGCAAGCGGTAATCTATTAAATGTGGAAAACGAAATTATGACAATGCCAACATGGGACGGTTAGCTGTTTCTTTTTTTGTAGGAAGCCATGAAATATTTTGTTAAAGTTATTTCATTTATGAATAATTTAATTTCATTCATTTACACTTAAAAGAATATTTGATGCATGAACTGCGTTGCTCATCTAAATTATGCATTAAATATAGGTTATTGCTGAAAAGATTATAGATAAGATGACGTTAAGGAACGAAAAGCACTAATCGATTAATCATTAATTGACAAATCACTTGATTAGAATTCTTAAAAAAGTGTACTTAAGTTCCAAACAAAAAACTAGTGTTAATGGAAAATGATAATCTGACTCTATATTTTGCTAGTCACAGGTTTGTTTTAATTAAGATTACTTCGCGTTTTAATCATTCTCATCTATTTCCACCCCAGTTAAAGTATTTTGCAACCATTGGCCATGAAACTTCATGTGTTCAATAGAAATTAGGATGCATAGACCATTCGCTTCATTATTTCTTCGCCACAACATTTATGTTTCAAAATATGTATTAAGACCAATTTTCAGAATTTACGTCTTTCTTAGATTTTTTCTTACTTATCCTGCATTTGTCGTTCAAATTTTGCAATGATTTTTAGTGTTTGGTATACTTTTTACCTTTATCAAATATTACTTTTTATGGAACTTCTTACAAAAATAAACGTGAAATAAAAACTGTTAAGTATTTTAAAATTCAATGTTAACTTCGTGCACAAATGTCAAAAATATCATACTTCTAATGATGCTATTTTCAATTCTTTTATGTTTTATACAGAATAATTAGTTTGCAAAATTTACGTTATCCAAAATAGTCTAAGTGACGCCAATAGTTAATTTCAGAATTTGTTTTGCATGATCATTTCAATAATACATGTTTTGAACGATACTTGAGCAAAGATAAACTATCTCTGTATAACAAAAATGATCATTAAAATCATTATCAAAAATGAGTACAATAGTGAGTGTAGATGAGTGTAGATCCAATGATCACACAAATTAAAGAATATAGTTGGATAGCTTGAATGAAACAAAAACTAAATTGATTCATTTTAGTTCGTTTTATATTTTCAAAATTACATTTACATTTTCAAAAAAAAAATCATTTTATAATGAATGAATAATTATGCTTTCATTAAGGTATCCTGGAAGCTCGCTTCGAACAGACAACACAATCAGTGCATGATGAAATTAAATGGTTTCCTGAAGAGGATACGGCTGAAATGCGGGATCAGGGAGAAAAGAAAACGAATACGGAGTAGTGAAAGAGTAATATGTATGTACGTATAATTTAAAGTTTTCACAACTTGTCAATTTGATGTCAACAAAAGTTTCTGATAAAGATTTTCCGAAATACTGAACAACATGAAAGCGGAAACATGATGAACCATTTAGTTGCACATATAAATACAAATAGAGTTTACAAAGATATTTTGTCACAAATCTACTGGATTTATTCCTCTTCGACTAATCAAATTTATCCTGATGAGTCGGTATAAATCAAAGAATAAACAATAATAAGTATAACTGAGTATATTGTGATGATAATAATCACTTGGATAAACGTTATAAAGAGAACATATTTGCTGTGTGCTAATTGATCTATGGATTATTTCAGTAACTGATTGATAAGAAAAACTCATTCTTTTATACAAAATTAGGAATCTAAAAATTTTCAAGCAATGTTCTGATATGTTTATTGAAAAGTATTATGTAAAAATTAAAGCAGCATTCCGGAACTTTTATATAAATTTGCAAAATAAAGCTAATTAAAACCGGCAACCCATGTCAAATATTTTCACTTCAGCGAGAAATACAACTTCTTTTAACTATTCATTTCAGATTTTAAAATCGAAGCACACAAATCAATCAGCCTATAATATACCATTTCTTGTTAGCTTAAGTGAATGTTAACAGGTTACCGATCGCAAACTCCTAAAATATTCCAAGTGATAAAAATTTTTTGACCTTTTTATGAATATTTAAAAAAAAAAAAAAAAAAAAAAACAAATTGGAACAAAATGTTTGATTTGCTTTGCAATATGAACTGAAATTATCCATTAATTTTAAATGAACGAAACAATTCGAACTTTTCCAACCGGTCAGTGAGAGATCATGGAAAAAAGTGAATATCGAATAGATATCCTCATTTACTTATATCATTCTGTAAAATCATATATTACAATTCTACTTAATAATAACACAAGAATCTTAACATCATTATAAATATTTGAACTTTTCAATTATTTTCGCAATGGTTTTATGTAATTATTTCTTGGTTATTTCACAGCAAAAAAAGACTAATATTTTTAATTTATAAATTATTGATTCTCGCTTGAATGATTTCTATAAGATTAATTGAAAGATAGTTGAATGATAATAAAATAACTGATCAATGATGATATCATTGTAATCATTATTTTTAAATGATTAGCAACAATGGTTTGATAAATGTTCGAATGACAAACAGTTAGATATTAGCAGAGTTTTGTTGTATAATTTTGATTCTAATGGAAAGAACTACTTTTTTCTGTCCATTTGAAGATGTTTACATTTCATATCTTTTGATTTCTCTTATATTAAAGAAAATTCACCAATTGAATGCAAATGCGAAGCCTCATTGATGTAGCTGCATTAAACAATGCCCGCTTTCCTGAAGCTTTGGATGAGTAGTGCTATTTTGGAAAGCAATGCTTACAATTCATTTCAATTATTCCAAATAAATGCAAAGTAAAACAATTCTTATATAAATGTCATCAAATCTTTCAGTGCAGGACGTTCGGCTCGATAACAATTCCGGTGCATTTCAGTCACACTGCAAATTATAAGCCATCTGCTTCTTCGTCGTCGCTACTAGATATTAGAAAAGAAAAACTGGAAGTTATATTCTTTCATTTCAAATGTTGCGCGAAAAATAGTTTACTTGTGAATGGCAGAAGGTTTATTTTACCAGTACGGGATGTAGGACAGGAATTTTCTTATCATACTTGAAGAACGAGGATTACATCAATGTGTTCTGAATGAAGTACATTAGACACAGTAGTGAATGCTGGAACTGTTAGTGTTATGTGCAAAAAATTCGTGTACGGAATTTGAATGATTGATAATCTGCGCTTAATCATCGCTTGCCTGATTAAGTAAATAAATTTCATGAAGCATCCGCTTGGTGATATCATTCATAAACAACTCCTTTTGTATTTAATTTCAATCTGATTGATCAAATTAAACGATGATCGCAAAAAAAAGATCTGCTTTTGTCTTCACCGCTATTTTGTTGTTCAACATGATAATGGTAACAATTTTATTCTAAATTTTATCAGGTAGAATAATCGTTTTTAACAAATAAAAGGACTGAAATTGATCAGATTAGAAGTACTGTGCGAATAAAATGATCATTTTTTATTGATTTGTCAATAAAAAATCCAATTGATCGATTGATTTTTTCCTTCATGTTGAATTTACTGTTTCATATTTCTTTCATAATCAAACCAAAAAAAAATTTTTTTTTTAGTAATAAACATCATTGATGCCTGCTAATGAACTGTGGAAATTTTATCGATTTTATTTTATTTCCCATCTTCCACTATTTTTACCAACTTCATCATATTTAACAGCATATTATTATAGCCGACTTCAGCATCATCCTCCACGACATCAAAATCAACAACAACGGTAACAACTTCAACAGCGTCCTCTACGACATCAGAATCAACAACAACGGTAACAACTTCAACAGCGTCCTCTACGACATCAGAATCAACAACATCAGTAACAACTTCAACAGCGTCCTCTACGACATCAGAATCAACAACATCAGTAACAACTTCAACAGCGTCCTCTACGACATCAGAATCAACAACATCAGTAACAACTTCAACAGCGTCTTCTACGACATCAGAATCAACAACATCAGTAACAACTTCAACAGCGTCTTCTACGACATCAGAATCAACAACATCAGTAACAACTTCAACAGCGTCCTCTACGACATCAGAATCAACAACAACTGCAACTACTGTAAAAATGCCCTCTACGACATCAACAACTCTAGCAACTTCAAAACGTGTCACTCTTATTTCTACAGCACCAAAAACGATGCTTACAGAACCTCCTTTAAGAGATGTATTAATTTCAACGATCTTGCCTTCTTTAACGGTAGCTCCAGTTCCTAAATTAGAAGCACAAAATTGGTGGTACTGGTGGTGTTGGTGGTATCCATCAAGTACTGCTTGTTTTTGGGGCGTGTGGAGTTTGAATTACATGTATTCTTGGTACATGTAGTTTTTAGAATCCCAAAAACAATAGATCAGTTGAGAAATGCTTCAGAAAGCTATTTATGGCCTTTTAGTGTCACTCTAATAATTGTTATGATTTTGATCAATAAATGTCAGTTATCAGAATTGATAGTAAGGAACGTGCTTCCATTGATGTTCCCGTTAATTGATATTTATATTACAAATGAAGATCGCTTCAGTTTTTGATTTCATTCATTTTTTTTATTTAGGTTTTTTTTTTTTTAACTTTCCGAAGTTTATGAAACTGATTTTGATTAATAAATACTGATGCAGTGATGACGCAAATATCTTATTTTTCAAGATGCAAATATTTTATTCCCAAAGTTGAAGATTTTGACACAAATATTCGATGTAATCCGAATGCTTTGAACTTCTATTAATTATTTCTTATGGAACCAAATCATTACTGATAGTAATATCGCATTATATATAATTTAAGTAGTTTTTAGTGGTGGTAATCTTATATAGCAAACTTTGGACAACAGGCGAATATTGAAGAAAATTTAGCATTATATATAATTTAGGTAACTTTTGTTTTGAACTCCCCTCTTGTTTAAGTAATTTGATGCTTAACAGACAAAACTTATTGTAAAGATTTATCATTTTTGAATGATTGATGGTAACCTTATCCAACAATTATTGGTTAATAGATAAATATTAATAATTTGAAGATGGTTTCATGGTTTCAAAATTGATATAGGTTGAGTCGTAGTTTAGAACTGTCAAAAGGTTAAAGTGATGATTCGCCATGAAACAAACCTGGTAATGAATTCTAATTCCCTATATATCAGCATATTATAATGTAATCCATAGGATACAAAATAACTAATGTAAGTGAAAAAGGATGTGTAAAGTAACTGATATGCGACTGGTTATTTATCAGATAGAAAACTTCTGCATATTTCGGCAATTGAACCAAAGATAAACATGGTAATCAAAATAAGGATAAGAAATGACTCATCACATTAGATACTGTAACATTTATCAAATTACAGTTTATGCAATGCGTCACTTAAGGAAAAAATATTTGCAACAGAAATTATTGCAACGCTAGGTTGGATTCTCAGTTCGTATTATAAACGGAATAAGCGATGACTATTTTTTTTTATTTCCTTAGCTTCAGGATATTTCGGTATATGAAATGTGTAACTTAATTTTAATTAAATTAGAACCATTAATTAATAAATTAGAACTGTTAAATAATTAGATAGAAAAGGATAATGTGTGTTGTCGATCATATTGTCGTGAAAGGTAGTCTTTGGTGTGTGAGATACAAAAGTTAAGTGAACTTACATTAATTGTTGTGTTACGCTCGCAGCGTTAAAGATAGTAAGCGTCAAATACGCTATTTTTTTATAATACAGCAGTGAAATTATTGTAAGTTTATTCTTATAAAGCGTTATTAATAATCTGAGCAGTAAAAAATCGGAAGTTGAGTTTCGTTATGACACTTATAGTCGACAACAATAATCTTGTTTATCATGATTGCATTTATATGTGTGAGGATTGGGCGTGCTTACGGTAAGATCATACATGTAAGGGATTGGAAGTGTTTATTTAAGATCATATATGTAAAGGGTTAAGCATGTGCGGAATTGGAGGTGTTTACAATAAGATCATATAAGGAATTTAAAGAAAGAGATTATGATGAGAGCTAATTTCACATAAAATCACATGAGTAATAAAGAAGTCAAATTTATGGAGAGATGATTCATGATACATAAGGTTGTTTACAATTTAAAAATGATTTCTTAGTTTTTTCTTTAAATTAACCTTGCTATTTTAATTAGAGTTTCGTGAAATTTTGATTCGCGACACATGTAATCTTATTGTATTTTGCAGAAAACATTCACTGTACGGCGCTTCATTTGATTTCATAGCTCTCTTTTCTTCGAAGAGAATAACGTTTTGCTGAGTATTCTGTCCATTTTAACAGTATAATAATAATGTGAATGAGTTGATGATCTTGATCCAGGAAGTGTAAGACTTTGGTATGTATTTATATTATCAGTATGACATCATTACAACTATTAATATATTCATTAGAATTGAAAACGATTATTTGTTTACTACTGATAACTTATTTAGTCATTAGATATATTTCGATGTACTCATAAATAAATCCAATTATATGGATAAGCTAATTATTGTTTCAATTTTTTTGTGCAGAAAATTTTTTATATATGTTAGATAGATATTCATATTTTCGTGAAATTGAAAAAAAAAATGGACAATGTCGTATAGATGAATTTTCGTTAGCATAATATCTAATTTCCTTTTCCCACTACTGTTGAAAAGAATTTCTTGTTATAAAACAATTTCTATTTGTCGCTTTCAGTATCGAATAGTACAATTTGCTTGTGCTGTACTTCATGCAATTTGCTCTTCAAATTCTTTTCAAACATCCCAAAAACTTGCGATTTTCATCAGTGGGGACGAAGAAGACAACTTCATTGCTGCTGCTTGGTGGTATACATTACGTTTACGTTTCTCGACAGTAAGCTTTTCTGAATTGCATGATTTTGAGTTACAGATAACAAAGAGTTGATATGTGAAATTAAGTTTTGATTAAAAAGTTAGTTAAAAATTGAAACATTAATTATTCACTTCTTGCGCAAAAAAGCAAAAAAAAGTATTACTTTCAATGCGTTCTCTTTCAGATTTTATTCGCTGCTACTTCCATACTTATTTTATTCCTTTTCTTCCTGAATATCAGAAAAAATCATCGTCAAAGGTTAGCATATAGAGAGCTTTTTGCAACTTTCACTAGACAATCTTGGGAAGAATTGTGCAAGCTTGAGAATAAATAACAGCATTCATCACTTCTTTCGATGTGACCAAACAGTAATCAATAAAATAAAAAAATCAAATTACGTTTTGGTAGCTTTTCAGTTGCAAAATTTCCAGCATTTCATATGATCTATTGATTGTGGGGCGGAAGGAAGGAATGTTTTATTCGTGATTTATTTAAAATGATAATTTAATTTGATAAATTACCATAAGCTATGCAGTGACTTCAAAGTAATTTATTTCACTGCAAAAACGGCTGATTATCACTTAGGTAGCGTGCGAAAACAAGAGAAAGCAATATTTAGATAGAAATCAGCTTTCATTCTTAAGAATCTTGAGAAACATTCTTGCAAATCTGGCAATATAATAAACTAGTCTGACAATTAATTCGGATTAGTTTTTTGCTCCGCAAACGGCGGAAAACAGCCAAAAGAAAATAAAATTTGAATGAACGTTAGTTTCTACCTTTTCTTTTCCGAATTTTTTTCCGCAGCTTTTTTTTAAAAAGCCGCGGAAATTTAAACAGAATCACACATTCAGTGTGAGTGAAAAGTTAGAATGTAGACTAGAGATTTGAAAAAGCATTTGGCTTGGACAAAAACACGGGTGTATATCAGAAATGTGAGAATATAAGAAAAAAATAAACTTTTCGGATAGGATATGTAATTTTTTTGCAAAGTATGAATTTACATTGTGTATGTATCTTGCAAATTTATTTCTCTTCTCAAAAAAGGGTTTTGAGCAAATAAAATGATGGAAAGTTATAAATGCACAATTTGTAAAGTTAAGAAGTTACAAAATTTATATCGTATGATTAAGAAATTTAGAAGTTCTCATCGCTTATTTTTGTCATACACAATAAATATAAACAACGATGAACTCATTGATTAGTAGATCAGAATATTAAGATCTGAAAATGGAAGCAGTTCCACATGCTATATAACAAAGAAAATAAGATCAAAATTATAGCACTATTACTGACAACTGAATGAGCATTACTAAAAGGAAGATAGACGATATCATCTGCAGGACATGGTTGATATGTTAATGAGAGTGACCTTTTCAAGTTTTTCCATTTCAACGGTTTCTTCTTACAATCCATAAGTTGGAAATTCTTGGTCAAACATAAACGCACATCAGCTAACAACCAACTTTTGGTCTGCAAGGGTTGAATCTTGAATGCGTGGAAACAACAGCTATCAAGAAAACAATAAGCTATTAAGTAAGCTATATAGAAATACCTCTTTATCTTGTAAGCAATGAAATTCCACATTTTTTCCATAAGCAGATCTTAAACTTTGATGCAATAGTAGCCGGTCGTATAACTTTTCTTGTGATGGAATGATTTCTTGCTTTTCTAATATACTGTAAACTTAAACTTTAAGACTATCTACTAAATAGAAAAAAATCCAAATAATAGTGTCTTTCGAACAATATTAGTACGTCGTTTAAGGCCTACATTACGATCGTTTAAAAAAAGTTGACAAATTTGTCTCAAAATTTTTCCTGTCCAAATTATAATCATACTCTTCAAGAAAAAAAAGAAAACTTCACTGTGAATTAGGTAGAAACCTGACTGAATGGATTTATCACTGACGATCATTGCTTATAATTAGAAATCAAAAAGTGGTACCCGAAGATATTAAATTGCTTATAGAGAGCGAGAGATTTGTTGAAATACTTTAATTCATCACTGACTTCTTCCACAATTCCCGCACACGTTCCATGCTTTTCCCACTCGTGTTTCCTGAAAACTGTGTCATTTACTGAAAACAAAACATTGCTAAATCAAAAAAAAAAAAAAAAAAGATTTTCGTCACTATGCCACAGTGTTGAAGAGAAACTTGAAAGACGAAACTGAGAGTCAGAATTCTTTAACGTTAATTCTTCCGATAATAAAAATATTTGATCTTACCATAATGACGATACGGATCGCATTACAAACAAATTTGGCCAATACTTTTCCAATTTTTGTTTGATTGGAAGAAGTTTGGATAATACAAACTTTTTTGTGTCGCTACCACAAAATTGCGGGAATGATCCGTCATTACGCTGTGGCCTTAAAATCATGGAAACTCTAAATTAAGATATCTAGAAACAACTTAGATAGAATATACGAATAAATTAAAATCTGTGAAGGAGAAAAGGAAGATCCTTTATTACATCTGAAAAATTCAAAACTTGAACTCCAAATTTTCTCATAACCTTTTTGGATATGAGAATTTGAAAAAAAAAAATTCCAAAGTTCAGAATTTTTCCACCTACCACAACCCATGAATTGTCCATGAGGCAGCATCGACAGGAACTTTGCAAAAATTATCAATCGTCTTCTTGACAATAAATTTAGTAGCTCCACCATAGGCATGACAAACAGATGTTGGATAAATTAAAGTTAGCTCAAAATAATCGAAACTATCAACTTTTGCAATATTCATATGGGCCAACGCCGTTGCTTTTAGCAGCAAAACCAATATAATCATTTCAATCTACGAACAAGCTCATGTTGTCTAAAAAAAAAAAAACTCCTGGAATTTCTGTCTGAAAGCAATACTACAAATTCTAGAGCAGTTTTGCATTCAATACAATGGGCGTGACGTCCCAAATCATTTCCTTGAACATTTATTTGCATTTCCAAGTTTCTTGCCGAATTTTTTAATTTTCACTGTTGAATGAAATTTTAAACTAAAAAGGTTTGAATGCCAATGGTAAGATTTGTATATTTCACTTCCCGGAAATGCAAAAAATTCTTCAGGACTACGAGGTCCAGATGTAAGTAACTCAGTCCTTTTACTCTTAGCAAAAAAAATTGTCGTAAAAAAAGAAGACTGTAATGTTAAATGACACATCTGTGTTCAGCTAATAAATTTTGAATTTCTTTTATTACATAACACAACCGGACTATTACTGAAATAGGGAAGCATAGTGCAGAAACTATCAGCTTGATAAAGTCGATTACTAAAAATTTCACTATGGCATCTTACATCAGATAAACGCTAAGAAAGACTAAAGAAAAACGATTTGCACTACTAACATATTTCAGTGAACTGATAAAGATATGAATACACAGGAATTTCAATTAAAATCGAAAATTGGAATAATTCACTGGATATACTTGTCAACATAACAACAATGTATACTACTACTAAAGATAACAATCATTGATTTAAAACGGAGGAGAAATAGGGAGCTGTGTGTGGTGTCTGCCAATTTACATCAGCCCTCTTTTGTCCCATCAATTTCTTTGAAGTATAACTGAACAACGTAACTGCCAATGTTAACAAAACAGAAGCTGAATGAAAACTTCTACTTGGCAGTAAGTTTGGAAATTTAAACTTTGATTTTACTGATAACAATTTGCATAATGCTTGTTGTAAAAGAACACTGTGCCAATGTCATGACACAAACTAGCACCAAATTATCAATAAACAACCTTGCAGTTTATGTGTATGGATGTGATACCTATATTTGTTATTATTTTACACAATGGTATAGAGCCAGAAAATTTTTAACATCTAAAATAATTGCTTATAAAGTCTACAAAATGGAAGCATAAAATAACGATAAGGATGAAAGGATGAAAAAAACATCATCACTGACTTGTGACATTAAATGAACGAACAAACGTGCATAAAATGATGCTTTCTATACCCAATCATTTTCAAGTAAAATTTTGGTGGGAAATTAAAAGTTGTATATAAATAAAGTATATATACATATATAATAACTCATTTCTCCTATTCATCCATATTTCAATCAACTGCTGAAATTTTCCATAGCTAATAAATTTAGTCGAGGTAGTAAGGTAATATTCCTCACCTCTCCATACCAAAATTTCACACAGTAGATAACTTTAGATATCTATTTTGCACTTTAAATTTCTGAATCTATTAAAAAAATTTCATATTTCTAAATCCTTACAAATGGAGAACCGTACACGAAAAAGAAAGCAATGATGCAAATAATTACAGAAAAAACACTTTGGAGTTGATCTATAATGAAAATGCAGTTGAATGAACGTCGCAGTTTTGATTTCAATAAAAAAGGCAACATTAAAGGGCAAGCTCAAATACACTGACATATCGACAACAGACTAAACTGATTAACAAACTTTCAGAAAACTGAACAAGCATTTGTAATGGCAAAAAGCAAATGACTGAAAAAATGACAGTGAGTCTTCCAAGAAAGTACCCTAAAGTATTCAGAATTTTTTCTTGTAAATTTGTCCTTGAGTGGTTTCATTCAACTTAAATCAATTGTCACAACTGATTTGCTTTTTTCATAAGACTGATTTAATGTGAAACTTGAATATGATTCATCTGACAAAGGTCTAAAAATCTCAATACATTATTCAGCCAAAAAAATTTTTTTCGATGCTTAAAAATAATTTTATACTGGCCTAAAACGGCTTACAAATTCATGAAACATCAAATATTTTAGTACCAGTGCAACTATTAAAAAAATGTTTACTGCAACTAAGTGCGTTAAACATTTAAATTTATTTGAATAAATGCAATTTAGTAAAATTTTAGAAATTTAATAAAAACTTAATAAGAAAGAACAGTGATTGAATGCAGTTTAGAATTCTTAGGCGAAAGAATACGATAGAGGAAATGTGAACTGGCAGTGAAAACAATAACAATGAGCATAAATTCTTCGCATTTATTCAAAAGATGATCTTACCGTGAACTAGATTTAATCCACAATGTGCACAAGAAATAGAAATATCAGCAAATTTTTGATCGAAAAAGAGGTTTAGCAGTAAAAATCAAAGTGATATGAAGAACGTTTTCCACTTCTTAGTGCTAAATTCATGGAAAGAAAAAGTTCATAAATTAAATACGATCAGATGGAGGCAACCTTCACTCATTATTTTCACTACTCTCATTAACGACAATTCCTTCATCACTTGCGCAGATTTTATACATATAGCTACCTGGAATGCATTCTAGAGAGCAGTGAAAATTTTGAATTATCTAGCCAACATTTCTCTCATGACTTCAGCATTTAAACAACTGAAAATAAAAAATGGAAAAAAATTAGAATGCAACAAGCAACATAAATAGATCTAAAAGAAGAAAATAATGACAATATTGAATGAACAAATACACTGCAGTGCAAATATAAGTAAACAAAATATCAAAATATGTCGTCATCAAAATTCTATTTTAACAC